CTTACCCTCCCTTCCATTCTTTCTAAAAAAAGGGGGGGAGGGGCAATGGAAAAAATATCCTCAGGTGAGGATGAACAACAAGAAAAAATGCCGAGTTCCTCTTCATTTCCTATATTAATTAACGTGCATCCTAGGGATAGTAAGTGACTGCTTTGGAAAGCTGTCCTTTAACATAGAAGTGTTGCCTAGGATTTTCCATTCAGGTGGTGTTTCATTTAACTTAGCATTTTACAAATACGTAAGTAGCTATTGTAAACTGTAGGCTGGCTGTAACCGCAAGAGAACACCACCAGGGTCCTGGAAGTGGGTGTTTGGAGGCAGCCAGTCCTGCAGAGCGTTGCCTGGACCAGTGCGGGGTCGTTCAGGACCCGTGGGAGCCGCTGGCCCCAGCACCCCTCCTCTGGTGGTGGCCATCTGTGTGAGGACTGTCCATTTCTGAAGGAGGACGTGCATTTTAGTTTTTCAAACAGTATTCGTAGCCGCTCACCACACTCAGATGCTCAGGGCTGTGGCATACATTTGTATACACGCCGATGAGCCGCATGCCCAGTGTGAAACTAGCACACTTACAAACCGGCAGGAAATGTGTTCCCACATTAGCACCCTATATGTTGTTAGGGTCCCTCCTTCACGGACAAGTGTTGACAGTTATTAGTGTATTGTGGTCAGATCAAAGTTTCTTTGGAACTAAGGTGAAAAACACCAAAAGATTAAGTGTGTATCTCTTGGAATGATGGGTGATTGTTACTAGTACCTTCTTCTTTCTACTGATCTTTATACTTCAGATTTTTTACCATGAGCTTATTTTACTTTTGTAAGAAATATTTTTAGTTTATAAATGAGCTGTGTCTTTGTCATCTTAATGTGTTTAGTTTTATTTTTTGAGCTTTCCTTTTTTATTTACTTTTTACTAGTAATGCTTCAAGTTTTGTTTCTCAAAGAATTTTATTTGATACTAGAGGCCCGATGCACAAAATTCGTGCAAGGGGCTTGGCCCTCGTGGCTCGGGCTGTCTCGCGGCCCCGTAGCCCTACCCACTGGTTTTTCCAGAAGGTCATTCTGGAAGGTTGTTCTGCCGTCCATCTAATTAGCATATTAGCTCTTTATTATATAGGATTCATGGTGGTAAATCATTTATTTTCTATCAAGAAATCTCCCGGCGAAGCCAGCTGAAGAAGCTCAGAAGCACAGGCAGCAGTATGAAGAAATGGTGGTCCAGGCCAAAAAGCGAGGTGAGGGTCCACATGTTCGGGTGCGTAAGGCCGCACAGGACTCTGTGTCTGTCTAGATATTTCCTTCTTCCTGTCTGGGGCCCTTGAACCTGAACTGTGGTGAAGGCTTTAGTATTTTGAAATTTATAGTTTTCCACAAAAGTGTGTGCTTCTATCATGTCATTAAAGGTTCGCTATCATTGGTCTAGGGCAAGAGTATGGACTGCGGAAAGCCTCGGCCAGCAGTGATGGGCAAAGCTCGCTCTCTCTGGGCTCAGTTTCCATTTTTTTTTAATTTTAAATATATTTTTATTGATTTCAGAGAGGAAGTGATGGAGAGAGAGAGAGAGAAAGAGAGAAAGAGAGAGATCAATGATGAGAGAGAATCATCGATAGGCTGCCTCCTGCATGCCCCCCAGTGCGGATCGAGCCCACAACCCTGGCATGTGCCCTGACCGGGAATTGAACCATGACCTCCTGGTTCATAGGTTGATGCTCAACCACGGAGCCACGCTGGCCGGGCAAGTTTCCTTTTTTTACAAGATGGGATAGGATTTGGTAAAATGCCTTACAACATCCTATGACAACGATTTTAAAAAAAATGTGATTAACATAATGTGGTCTGTACATACAACGGCATATTATTCAGCCTTAAAAAGTAAGGAAGTTCTGGAACGTGCCTCAGCACGGTGAACCTTGAGGATTTATGCTTAGTCAAGAAGATAAACACTGTGATCCCACTTCTCTGGGGCCCTGAGAGTAGGCAGAATCATAGAGACGGCAGAATGGTGATTGCCAGGGGCTGGGCGGGTCCGGGGGAGTGCGGCGGGGTTAGAGTTTAACTGGTGCCGAGTTTCAGTTTGGGAAGCTGAGAACATTCTGGAGACGATGTTGGTGATGGTTGGGTAATGATGTGAATGTGCTTAATGCCACTGATTGTATACTTAAAATCGTTAACAGTAAATTTTATGTTTTGTGTATTTTACCACAATAAAAACAAACAAACGTATATGTAAATTAACGCACGGTGTTTCCCAGAGCTGCTATTGCACATTAAGGGCTCTGCTCAGGCTGCGAGAAGGGAGGCTCCAAGTTGTCCTGGGAGGGGCCTGGCGGGGAGCTCACGAGGCGCCTCTGGGGTCTGCAGTGCTCTGTCCTTTGATTGCGGTGGAAGTTTCATGAGTTGGCCTATTTTGTGATCATTGATCCCGCGTTATTGGTATGCTTTCCTGTTTGTACGTTACACCTGAAAAGCTTACTAAAAGATGGTAACACCACGCCTTCTGAGCTGCCCACGGTGGGAAGGGGGTGGGTCTCACGGCCCCGTCAGTGCCACTCTGGGGTCTTTGCTGCGTGACTGAGAAAAATCCCCCACTTGAAGTGGTGGCTGCCAGTTAACGGAGCCTTTCCCCTTCTCCGTTGCGATTCCCAGAGCTGAAGGAAGCCCAGCGAAGGAAGAAGCAGCTGGAAGAAAGATGCCGGCAGGAAGAAAGCATCGGGAATGCGGTCCTGACGTGGAACAATGAGATTTTGCCGAACTGGGAAACCATGTAAGCTGGGTCGGGCGCGGTGCGCTTTTTCATTTCCGTCTGGGGTCCAGGAGCGGCCGCACTGATGTCGGTCAGCGTCCTGCCTGTGGTGGAAGGACGTAGGGTCAGGTGTGCAGCTTCTCCCTTCCCCGCCAAGGCTCAGGCCTGTCGTCCCTCATCTGGATCCTGTGACATTCCCCGTCCTCCTTCCGGAGGGATCAGCAGCCCGTGGCTGTGTCATTCCCGCACTGCAGATTTCAGTGACGCGGAACTCCCTTTCTCGGGAGCCGCACCTTTGATCTCTCCTGCACGTGGATGGAGCGCTCTTATCAGGGAGCCTCAGGGCCTTTGCCTGCCCTGTTCCCTCTGCCTGGAGTGCTCTTGCCCTGTGATCCCTCCCACTCTGTTGTATGAAGCTCAGTCTTCTGTGGGGAAGCCCTTCCTGGCCAGGGGCTGGAGGAGACGCCCCTGGGTGCACTGCTGTCCTCTGTCTGAGGGTAGGACTGACTCTTCTCTGATGACAGCCCCAGGGCCGTCTGGCAGCTGCTGTCATCTCTCCATCCGTGGGACAGCTGGGGACAGTTCTTTCTGTGGTTTAGGGCGGGGAGGCCCGTGTGCGGCCCTTTGTGGGCCTCCCCTCATCACTAGGAGTTGCCAGGAAGCTTGGGTGCCAGTTTCTCGTCTCGTCGCTTTCAGCCTGCACCCGATGTCGGGATGTGGGGGACTCAGTCCTGGCACTTCCCCGAGTGTCACTCCGTCTCATTAGGGGGTCAGACAGCCCCGTTGCGGGTGTCCCCTAGGAAAACAAGCATTTCCCAAGCATTTCCAGGCTGTGCCTTTATGAGACTGGACACAGTCAGGAAACTTTTTTCTCAAATGGGACTCAGCGACAGAGTGAGGTTCTCAGGACCTGGGGCTGTCTCCCTCTCTGGCTGCAGGACCCACCCTGGTCCATCCCGCACTGACGGGGTGTGATGAGGTCCAGAGGCCCACGCTCGGCACTGCCTGAGACGCACCAGCTAGGGGCCAGGCACGGGGCCGGGTGTCACTGCATCGTCCCGCTCCTCTCCACACCACCCTTCACGGAGGCTTTCTGCATTCGGTGCCGGAGAGGAATCATTTGCTCGGGTTGCACAGGGAAGCATGGAGTTGGGGTGCAGACCTGTTCTGCAGCCTCGGCTTGTGCTCCCACTGGGCCGTGTGAGGAGCACCAGGGGAGTCTCTGCACTTGGTCCCAGTACGCGGGCTGTGAGCCACTGTGAGCAGAGGGCCTCAGTGCCTGAGCCGTGGAGCGCGTGCTGAGGTAGCAGAGTGCTCTGCCATTAGAGCTTGGCAGCTGTGCCCTGCATGCCACCTGCCCCGCACTTGCAGCTCCGCAGCAGTCCTGTCCGTCCGTCCCCCCCCCCCCCCC